GTTCAATTATTGGTGTATGTACTAAAATAGAATAATCAATTTAAAATAGGTGAGAACTTGGTCCAATTATTGGTGTATGTACTAAAATAGAATAATCAATATAAATCAATGCGCTTACTAGTCCAATTTCGTGTAATGTGTCATGTTAAAAAAAAAAAAACTTGTAGTATGTACAAAATTTTAAGGAGATTTCTATGGCATGTCTTGAAAAGTTAACAACCGATAATTTTTTTATTTTTTATGGTTGAATCTTGAGTAAAAAGTTTTTATTCTACATATTTTTTTAATTTAATGTAATTTTAATTATATTTAATAATCACAAACAAGTACTATCAGTAAGAGGCTCAGCTGTAGAAGGATCTAAAATTTAGAGGGAAATACTAGATTCCACTGAAGATGTATTTTTCTTCTTTGTGAATAAAGTGAGTTAACAACAATTTTAGACTTTTATTTTTTGGGACCTTTTCCGGTAAGCCTCTTTATTGATAGTACTAGTTTTTAATTGTTATATATGATCAAAATTACATCAGCTTAAAAAGGTATAAAAAATAGTCAGTTTTCGATATAGATCTAACGACTGAAAATTTAAAAAATAAAAAAATACCAATAATTTATATTTTTTTTCTATGTGAGAAACTCTCTTATTTTTTTAAATGATATATATCATTTTGGTTGAAAAATACTGCTTACCAGTTGGTGAGACCCCAAACAAATGGGTGCCTTGTCCTCAATTATGGGACAAGTGCCAACATGCTTGTCATGCTCTTTTTTATTTGATTAAACCAACACATTAATTACTGCTAATCCTAGTCCTCTCAGTATCCATTTGCAGGAGCACATGAAAGATTACTTTTTTTTCTTTGCACCGCACATGAAGATTACTTGCATGCCAAGCTGTTTTTTTTTTTTTCTTTTTTTGAAAAAAAAACTTTTCAGGCTTTTTAGCAAACAGATTTGAGGAAATAATGCAGTAATACTTGGTAATTTGTTATGATTATGTTTTTGGGAAAGCTAGACTTGTGGCTGATTTATGCTGAGCAATTTTTATGCGATATATATATTGATCTTCTTATATGTACATGGCTTTTTTTTTTCTTTTTTTTTTTTTGGCAACCGTGTATTGTTTTGGTTGTGCATGACCAATGTATTTATGCAATCAATCAAAAGTTAGAAATTAACAAGAATAACTTCTGATATTAAAAATCTCTTATTATATGTGTTGGCAAATGTGATAATGTACCTGGCTATTAAACATCAAAATCAACAATTGGTATTACTATTTAAGAATTTCTTTGTCTGTATTTTTTAGAACACCGGTATTTCTTATTAAGCAGACGTCGAGTTTGTATTACTTTTTTAATCTGATTTAACTTTTAGCCATATTTAATATAAATTCGACAGTTGATAAATATAGAACACCGGTATTCTTAAAAAATAGAACTTCTACCACCGTTGCCCAATATTAATTTGCTTATGAATAAATCAATGGCTCTTTTGGCGTAATTATGAAAGGATTTTTCAAGGAATTGTACTATATCTAGTAGCTCTACAAGGGTAATTACAGATATAAATGGACTAAAATATAAGAGTTATTTTACTTTGGATGTTTATATAGAATAATATATAAGATTTCTATTGTCTATGTCAAGACCTGGAATTCTTTTTGTAGTCTTATGGAAATCTAACAAATAATGGATGACGAAGCTGACCCCATACCTCTCTCATAATTGTTTAAATATTCTTAAAAATGGATCCATAATTGTCATTAATTAAGACGTTAGACCAACTATATGAAACATTCTCTTCCTCTATAGTTGATTAGTTTCAGTGCACTGAAAAATCTATCCAAAATACCCCCGTCTCATGATTTTCAGATAAATATTAAATTACAAAGAGGTAGTTCTATAAGGTAATTTCTATGGCAAATATGCACACATTAGGAATTGGCTACACTATAATTGTCAAGTCAATCGAGTATATGAAGGAAAAATGTTTTGGAATAGAGAGAATTATTGCATTGAGACTTTTATGGTTTGACGAATATAGTGAAAGACAAACGGCTATTATTTTTTGTCTTTTCTTTTTTTCCTAGAAAATACTGAAAAATAAATTAGTGAAAGAGTTCTATTTTAAACCGTTAAATTTAAATTAAAAATTATTTATTATGTATATATTTTTTTAATTTTAATCAGATTCGACGATTAGGTATTTACACCGTCAGATTATGTTCAAAAATAGGGCGCGTCTTTCATGGAAGTTACGTAATGAAAGGGTGTGTTTCCTTTTAACATTAGACAGCTAATGAAGTTGCATTTTGTGTGTTTCATCGGCGGATGGCTCAATGTTGGTCAGTCTGGTCCAAACCAAACTGTACTCTTGAGCTACCATCTGTAAATCGCTTACTTGTCACAGAAGGTTTGGTTCCCTTTCGCTTATTCAAAAGAGCAATGAAAGCTTCTTGGAAAGAACATTTGAGAACATTTTTTTTTCCCTTTTCGTACCCTTCTTTTAACTCAATGAGCATTTGGTTAGTGTATTCATGTTATAATTTAAATTATAATTCGTGATTTATTATAGTATTTTTTTTATAAATAATATATGTAAATTGAGAATAATTTTAAATTATAATTTTAAATTCATGAATTAAACGTCTACTTAAAAACTCGTTTACTTGTTTTTTTGTTTTGCTTTTTTATTTATTTATTCTCTCTTATAAAGATCCTCAACATTACATGTAGCAATTTCCACTTTATAGCTTCTAATGCGACTTCAACGATAACCACACTCATTTCAACAAAATTAGGCAGATGGGTGTCATTTTTTATTCACTGATTTTTTATTGACGAAGCATTTTGCATTTATAGGTATACATACAATACAACTACCACTCCCTAAAAGGTCCTGGATAAGGATATGCTACTATTTTATATGCAGTCCTATGTGTCTAGACCACCAGAGCTCTCCATCGTCTCCATCCTCGCCAAAAAAAAAAATAATGTTTGCAATTTTGCATATTAGAAAATAGAATTTTTACCCAAAATTACATTAAAATAGAAAAAGTATGTACAACTGATAACTTTGTATACATATTTAGTGGTTAAAAATAGAACCTTTACTTTACTTCAAAAAAAAAAAAAAAAAAAAAAAAAAAAAAAAAAAAAAAAAAAAAAAAAAAAAAAAAAAAAAAAAAAAAAAAAACACGCATGGTACGTTTTCATATCCTACCATAAAATTCTCAATAGAAGATACAATTTGTTGGACCTTATAAACTCAGTTCTCAAGAGAATAACATTTGCTGTATTTAAGATTATACCCTTTACTCAATGCTATATTATCTAAAAAATATACACAAGATTTCCTTATAGCAGCCTACTTTTCACCGAGTTATCGCATGGATTTCTCTCAGGAGGTGCAAAGCAAACAATCTAATAAGAGAGGAGAGACATATGGACCCTCATGATTTGAGGACCTTTTTCACATAACCAAAATGACTGCAACCAAAAGCACTGTGGTTCACTCATTTTAGCTTTCCCCTCACTAGAATTTTTGGACCCTTTTGCAACTTGTTGATTATGACAATTGTTTGCCAACAAATACTCATTGTAATTTGACTTGTATTTATATATATATATATATATATATATATGCTGGCTGCTGTTTGATATGAAAAGCAAACAAAATGCCCGTTACACTTTATTATTGACAAGGCATAAATGATCCATACTCAAATTGCTCCATAAAAGCATGGAAATGCCGTATGGCCCAAAATCAAAGTAAAGAAAGAAAGAAATCCTTCTTAAACTTGCATAACAAAGTGCCAACCCATAATTGGAACTTGGCAAGAAAATGGTCTAACTAAAAAGATGAGAAAAGGTTTATGAAAATAAAACCTATTAAGCTACTAATTTGATGCTAAAAGATGTTGAAAATGAAAACAAAAAAAATGTTATTTCGTAAAAGCAAGGTGTTTAACCATTAGAAGGATATCAACGCAACCGAGATAGGCTTTACAAATTTTCCAGTGAAATCCACTAAAGGGAGTTGAAAGTGAGATTTTTCACCGAGCTTTTTAGTGTTGATAATCTATTGGTAATGTATGTTTTAAACCACTAAATTTAATTGAAGTGCGAATGTGTTATGTATATGCTCAATGGTGTATTTTTTTTAACTAAAAAATTGAGAGTTTCTCTAATATGATAGTCCTACTAATAATGTTATTTTATGAATGTTGTATCTGATTAAAATCAAATCAAATTAAAAAAAAAATATATATATATATATATATAATATATGATTTTTGATATAAATCAAACAGTTAAAAATAAAAAATTATCGATAATTTATTTTTTCTAATCATATCGGGGAAGCTCTTAAAAAAATTCTCATTTTTTCATTCTCTTATCCTGCCATAGGTTTTTTTTTTATACTCAAAAAAAGAAATTTAGTAGTGCACTTCATGTTCCTAACCTCTTCGACTATAACAAGCAATCATAAGGATTACTGAGTATGTGAAAAGAGTATGAATTAATTTTTCACTGATCATCTAAGTAATTTTCACTCTCTTTTATCCTGTGGAGTTCATGGAGACTCACTTATGATACGTTTAGTTGATAGATTCAGAATTATAATTCAGAATCATTTTCAATTTATGTGTGTTTTTTGTGTGAAAAAATACTGTAACGAATCACGAACTATAATTCAAATTATTACGCGAATCCTTGAATTAAACACACTAATTTCTCATGAGGAGCAAGACAGTAATGAGCAGATACAAAGTATCAAATTTTGAAAAGATGGGTAAAAGAAACTTAACAAAAACGACCTTACTATTGCACCACGATCCTCGATGGTTGTTAAGCTATAGGTTAATTTAAAAAATCAGTTACGAGTTACCTCAGTCAAATGGTGGAAAAAGGGGTGACGTGTGAAGAGTGAGAAATATTGGAAAGTATAAATAAACGGCAGAGTTTAGCATCTCCTCTCTCTCTCATTCACCACCCAAAAGTTCCCAAAGGCAAGAGAGACAGACACCTCATCGCTTTATAAAAACGTATAGATATAGCTATATAGAAGAGGGTGTGTCACCTCTCATAGGAAGAAAAATATAAAAGCTAAAAACTGTTTCGTATTATTCATTCACTCTCTCTGGAAGAAGAAAAAAAAAATTCCCCTTTTCTCCTCTCCTCTCAAAAATCCATCCTCGACAAAATATCCAAGTTTTTATGTTGATCATCTTTTTGGGATAATATTAGTGCCTTCCTGATCAGAAAGTTGTGTTCTTGCTCTTTGGTTTGATCTAAATATTGATTTTTTTTTTGGTTTGGAAAGAAAAAGTGGAATTCTCTGCAATTGTTGACGGATTCAGATGGATTTTGAGGAATCGTGGGGTTCTCTGAGATGTAATCTTCCTTTCTGAGTCGTTTGAGTCTCGATCGGTGATGATCATAATGTAGAAATTGAAAAGTTTGTTGCTTTCTTTTTAATAGATTCTTTTTATGCTAACTTGCTGGATAATTTTTCTTCTGATGATAATTTTACGAACTGAGTATGCTGAAAAACCAAAATTTTTTGTTCAATTCCGTGAAAATTCGGGTTGGGTTTTGCTTTTTTGCATGTTTGGTTTACTGGGATCGCGTTAATCTGAATATTGTTGGTTGTGATGGGTTTACGTGAACAGGAGTTTTCTTGCTCTGATAATGAAAATTCTTTCCTTTTTTTGGTGTCTTTTGCTGTGGAATATCCATTCATGGAAGACTAGTATTTTTTTTCTCATCTGAGTTTCCTTGGTCTTGGTTACACAGAGTTTCTTGTTTTTGATCTGTATTTTATACTGTTTTTGGGTTCTGGGTTTCCTTATTTGGTCCATCTCCATTTGTGTGGCCTCAATTGACCGTGATTGAGATGCGATCAGATAGCGGCTCATGAATTATTGAATTTTCATTTGTTATTTTATTTTATTTCATTTTTTATTTTTAAACACGTTCTCATTCTTTTTACTTAGTTATTCCCCAGAAAAACTTGCTTTCCAAGAAGCTCTTCTGAGATTGTGGAGCCAAAGCTATTTATAAGTACCCATGCGAACCTTATTTTTATGACATTCCTCATTGTGACATAGAAAATGAAAAAATAAAAATAACAATCCTTTTTTCTTTGGCTTTCATTTGTTCTTGTACTTGCGATGATATTAGGCATTTGTTCTATTTGTAGGTTTGAGACTTGAAGTTTATTGATCCGCTAACATAGTTTGAAGGTAGACAACTCTGAATATTGATTGATGTCAAAAAATTGTTGAGTATGAAAAAGCAACGAGTAGTAATACATTCTTTTTTTTATTTATGTTTTCATACTTTGCCAGCAATTTAGAACCTCCCTCCCTCTCTTTCATTTGCCAAGTTTTGGGCACTGCCTAAAAAAATTTTCGCAGTGCCCATGGACGCCACAGCGAGCGGAACCCCAACTATTCAATTTCATCATAACCTTCCCGAACAGCCAATTCCCACCACCACCATAACATTTGAAAGAAGGCAACAACGCCATTGCTTTGGGGACTCAATCCCCGGAGAATTCCCTTTGGCTGCCAGTCCTCACATTGTTCTCCATGTTCTAACCACTTGTAATTTGGACCCTCAAGATCTCGCCAAGTTAGAGGCAAGTTTTTTTTTTTCCTGGAACTATTGTTGTTCGTGAAATATAAGGATTTTAAAATCTTGGAATTGATAATGCTGTTGAGTTGATATTGCAGGCAACATGTTCCTTCTTCAGGCAGCCTGCGGATTTTACTCCGGATACCGAATTGTCTCTACCAGAGCTTGCTGCTCTGGACATGTGCCAAAAGAGAGCCATATTTAGGCCAATGACAAATGAGGAGAGGCTAGAGTTGAAGAGGATATGTGGGGGGTCATGGAAACTGGTCCTGAGGTTTCTGTTGGCCGGAGAGGCGTGTTCGAGGAGGGAGAAGTCGCAGGCAATAGCGGGGCCAGGTCACAGCATTGCTGTGACATCAAAAGGAGCTGTTTACTCGTTTGGCTCCAACAGCTCTGGCCAGCTTGGACATGGCACCACTGATGAGGAATGGCGGCCTCGCCCGATCAGGTTGCTTTAGGAGTTAAAACTTATCGCTCCTTAGACGCGAAAAATAAAGCGAATAGTTTGGCAGGGCTAACATTACGAATAAGGGAAGTTAATGGAACTCCATTGTGTTGCAGATTATTGGAAGGCATCAGAATTATCCAGGCAACTGCTGGGGCTGGCAGGACAATGCTGATCAGCGACTCCGGTCGGGTTTACGCCCTTGGTAAGGACTCGTTCGGAGAGAACGAGTTTGGGGGTCAAGGAGCTAAAATTGTGAAGACACCACAGCTGGTTGAGTCTTTGAAGAACATATTTGTGGTGCAAGCGGCAATTGGGAATTTCTTCACGGCTGTGTTGTCAAGGGAAGGTAGGGTGTACACGTTCTCTTGGGGAAATGATGGAAAACTTGGTCACCAAACTGAGCCAAATGATGTGGAGCCACATCCTTTGTTGGGAGCTCTTGAAAACATACCTGTTGTGCAAATTGCCGCTGGATATTGCTACCTTCTTGCTCTGGCTTGTCAACCTACTGGAATGTGAGTCACTCTTTTGAATTTTGATGTTAATGTCTAGTTTGTAACTCAATTGTATGAACACATTGTTGAAACATATGTAGGTCGGTTTACTCTGTTGGGTGTGGATTGGGAGGAAAGCTTGGACACGGTTCGAGAAACGACGAGAAGTACCCACGACTTATCGAACAGTTTCAGCACTTGAACCTGCAGCCTATGGTGGTTGCCGCGGGTGCTTGGCACGCGGCGGTGGTGGGACGGGATGGAAGGGTATGCACTTGGGGTTGGGGCCGTTATGGTTGCTTGGGACATGGGAATGAAGAGTGTGAGTCGGCTCCCAAGGTTGTGGAGGCGCTGAGCAAGGTCAAAGCAGTTCATGTTGCCACTGGGGATTACACAACCTTTGTGGTGTCTGAAGAAGGTGATGTCTACTCTTTTGGTTGTGGAGAATCAGCCAGTCTTGGACATAATAATGCTGGTGCTGATGGAGAGGTCTGGATTTCTCCTCTTTTCTCCTGCATAATCCTAGTTTACATTTTTGATATTTTAGACCCATGCTTTGATTGTCCTTAGATCATGTCAGTGGAACATCTGTGGAGTCACAAAATCCCAACACATAATACAAGAAGGAAAATATTTAAGCCTATTGATCATAGATGTGTACTTTTCAATAATTGATCATAGTAAGAGCACCTACAATGCAGTATCAAATTGAGTAAAAATAATACTTTCAAATGCAATTCCCTTTTTTATGCTAAATTTGACAAGTGCTATACTTGGTAGCAAATATTTGACACTAAGTATAGCAAATTCCAAATTTGGCATTTGATTGCTACTTAACCGTTTCAATTAATCATTACAATATCGTCTTCTATACAATTATTTATAATCAAAATTTTGCTTTCACAAGTTTCAAAAGTAGATTATAGCATTTGAAATAGTATTATGCATTGGACCAGCAAATAGAATAGCACGTCAAAAATGCCATTTTACGCTTTTTACTGGCAAATAGCATATTTACATTGTACATGGTCTAACATGACTTAAGACGTGTACCTTTCGTTCATGCATACTTATTTTCCTTGACAAGTGATTATCATCGCATCATTGAACATCTCTACTTGTCATAAAAAATTACTCTTTGGCATTATGAAGTTGATATCTAGTGAATATTTAAAATTGTATTGCAGGGAGTAAGGCACGCAAATGTGTTAACCCCAGAACTTGTAACAGCACTCAAGGAAGTAAACGAGCGTGTAGTGCAGATCAGCCTAACCAATTCTATATATTGGAATGCTCACACTTTTGCCCTCACCGAGTCTGGGAAGCTCTATGCATTTGGGGCAGGGGACAAAGGGCAGCTTGGAATAGAGCTCGTCGGAAGCCAGACTGAACGGGGTAATCCGGAGCGGGTTGACATTGATCTCAGTTAGCTAGCTAGCTCATCCATCATGATCATCATGATCGTGATCCTGATCATGCATTTCTCAACTAATTTATGATGATGGTCATTATATCATCAAGCAGTTGCATTTCGTGTTTAGATTTCCATGTCTATTCTGTACATAGAAATTAAAAAAAAAAAAGGTAAAAAGAAAGAATTGTTTTTAATTTAGGTACTAGGAGAGCCTAAACAAGTGTTTCTCTCTATTTCAAATGGTTTGTTAATATGTCTGGAAGAATTTGGTTGTTGCTTAGGCTCTTCAAGTAGTCAAAAATAGTTGATACATTTGTCAAGGCTCATTTCATAATTTATTTATCTTAAATTGTTCATAGCTAACTCTTTGGCTTAAATTTTGGCTTTGAAAGTACAGATGCTGAGAGGTAAATTTCATAAGCTAAGGTTGTATTTTTAAGCTGTAAGTTGTAAAAGGTAACTTCTATCAATCAAGGTTTATGTTAAGAATAGAGATGAATACTCTTAAAAGTGCACGAGTTTTGAATTTCATCTTTTATTCTTGATTAATATTTTTTTAGTCAAATAATTATATTAACATAAGGTACTAATCAAACGTACGTACTTTAAGGGTAAGTTAGTGATTTTCTCAAGGATATGGTACCTTAAAAGAAAAAACAAACAAATTAAAACATGTCTAACTTAATTGTAAAAACAAAGATAAATATATATATATATATATAGTTAATAAATAGGTCAAATTATTATTTTCGTCTGATTATGAATTATAACTTGACAAGTTATTGTCCATAATTATCCATAATTTGTCTTACTATGAACCATAACTTGACAAGTTTATCCATAACTTATCTAGTTATGAACCATAACTTGACAAGTTATGGCTTATTAATTTTTATAATTAAAAATTAACCTATATACTTTCTTAAGCTTTTCATATTGGCTTATTTTCTACAATTTCTCAACAAAAAAAATATTACCCTCGAGCCTTTGCGTTAGCATTAAGTTGTCTCTGCAAAGGACAATAATTGAGCTCTATAAATTTATAACTTATTTATTAAATGAGTAGGGTAAATTCATCAATTCATGGCTCAAAAATGGTTGTTGACCCAGTTAAAGTACAAATTTGACATGAATTTGAAATTCGAAAGTGAAATTAAAAAAAGAATAATGTTAGAGACATCAATTCAAATCTTAATTTTTATATATCAATTGATATCTCGTATGAATTTTTATCTTTTTATTGGTAACTATAATCTCTTATCATTAATTAACGTGATGATATTTTAAACACCCGTAAATTTAAAAATGACAATTCACATGTCACATCAGTTCGCACATAAAAATTAAGATTTAAACGGGTATCTCTAGCATCATCCTTTAAAAATACGTTATATCTTTTTGATAATTCTAAACGCAAGATAAATAACCTTTAAAGAAGTTCTGATTGCAAATGTGTAAAGTAAAAAAGGGTGTTTCTTTCTTGGGAAAAAAAGAATTGCCCTCTACAGAAGTTTTTTTTGCTATGAAAAGATTAGCAGGGGGAGTATAGATTCTTGATACTTGCAAGACTTTTATTAAAAGCCACAGCAATACCAAAGTAGGCCATATAAGTCTTGAAGTCTTCTAGAGGCGCCAACTATATATTACTGTAATTTCTAAACCATACAAAACTGCTAAAACTTACTTTTTAGAGTTCATAGGTTTAGATTTTTAGTTTTTAATCTTGATTAAAATTCTTTTGACTAATATATATATTTAATTAAAGAGGATATTAATCAATAATAAGGAGTAAAAATTCAGACTCAATACACTCTAAGAATATTTGTATAATACTTTCTTTCTTCTGAGTAATACAAGACTGAGAACTACAAGCGTAGGTGTCGTTCACTGGTCAAAGCAAAGATCGAAAATCCCCCCAACACATTCATCTCCAAATCCATTGATTAATGGCAGCTAATTCCTTGACTGTTCCAAATAGGGGTGAAAGAAATCACCCCGAACCCGACTACCCGTCCCTACCCGACCCTACCCTACCCGAATATATAGGGTTTTTTTTTGGTTTAAAATTAGCCCAACCCGCAATGGGCGGATAGGGTCGCGGGCCCAAGCTCCATTACCCCACTTAACCCTACCCGGCCCAAAAAAACCATCTGCACTTAAAAATAAAAAAACCCTACATCATCTACCTTTCTCATTTCTCATTTCGAGCAGAGCATCCCACTACCCCCTTTGCCTCTCTCAAATCTGATCTGACTGAGTCTCATGATGCAAAGTATGTTTAATGTTATTCGCGAGCAATAGGCCTTTTCAGTTAAACTCTTTTCCCCTTTCTTCTTTAATTTTGTTCGTGCTATATCTTAAGAACATGCCCCCTTCTTCGGATTCAAAGTTTGGAGAGGCCCTTCAGGGATTCAAGAACATGCCCTTCTTCGGATTCAAAGTTTGGAGAGGTTTAATATCTTTCCTTCAAGAAGTTGAATAAGTATTTATGGTTTTAGTGCCATATTGTTTTCTCGACCCTTTTTTTCATAGATTTTATGCCTTAAACATCACAGGATTGAATGGTAAAGTTGTTATTTGGGATTTGGAAGACCAAGCAGATCTGTCTGAATATTTGTGAACCCTCATCGTGAAGAACATCATATTGGTCTTGACTAGTGAGCAGCTCACAATCAATGTTAATTTTCTATGAAAGCCTTCCATATGAGTCCTTGTGATTTTAGCTTTGTACTTCGTAACTGATCCTCATACTCTGTTTTTTTTTTTTTTTGGACTCTTTATTGATTGTTTCTGTATGTGAAATC